ATTGGGGGAGCTAAAAACAATCACCCTAAGTGAGGTAACCCAGACCCCCAAAAGATAAATACTGTATATTTTCTCTTCTATGCAGATTTAATAGGTGTGAATAACCACAGATGTTAGGTATGTAGGAAGGGACCCGTGGGAGAGGAGCTCTCTGGAAGAGAGGGGAATAGAATATAGCGTTATAAAGCGATAAAGGGGACAGTAGAATTGGAGGATTAAATGGAGAGGGGGATGAGAGGGCAGGGTAAAGGATGGACTGTGGGGAGGGACAACTCACACTAAAGGCCCTTTGAAAGCCATATGGCAGCACTGTAAAAGCTCCCTAAAATATATACATATGTAAAAAGGTTTTAAATGGAGTCATCATATAATGGGGGAGACCACAGCCCTGCTAAACATTTCATGCCACCAAGTAAAACCTCCAGTGCCGGGAATGAGTTACGTCTTGTTGAGTCAATGGCCAAAGAGTTCTACGGACCCACTCCTAGCCCCCAACATCACAGAGTATTGCCAAGGCTATTGCTCTCCACAACCTGATGATAGGGTCCTATTGCTGAAGACAGCACTTAACGTACGTTGTCAAACATGGAAAAATCAAGATGGTGCCCAACTAGAAACTTTTAACACCTACGGATGAGCATTCATGTTCCTAGAGGATACTCTGCATGCTATCCGAGGAGAAAAGTAATCATTAGTCTCACCCTATGGACTCTCTGACCTACAAGAGCTACCTCCTACCAGATACAGTGGCACAGTAGTGGTCCAGATGTTATGGTAACAACCAAGCACGTTTTGATTGGCTTTAAGGTCTACCTCAGGAGATGGAACCCATACTTGACACTGCTAAGGCAGCCCAAACCCCGAGATAGAGAGTTCATGGGCCTAGGGGAAATCCTGCTATTAGTCTGCTAAAGAACATAGCCATAAGGTGACTCCTAATGGCATACTGCTTTACCTGTAAGTCAGTGCATTGTTCAACAGTGATCAGAGAAACTTCTTGCAGTAGATGGAAATTAACACAGAGACCCACGACCCATGTGTGGAGAGTGAGAGACTTTGAGCCCTCAGTCCTAAGTGGGACCTCTTCATCAAATCTTTTCCATCAAGGTTCAAGACTCTATGCAGAAGAGGAAATGGAAAGATTGTAAGAGCCTGTGGTGACAGAAGACTCCATGGAAAAAGTGTCTTCCAGACCACAACAGGACTAATGCACAGAAACTGTGGTGGCACACATAAAACTTGTTACAGCTTCAAGCCAGATGGGGTCCCAGCACTGAGAGGGGGAAGTAGACACGGATTCCCACCCCTAACCAAGAAGCTGTTTGCAACTGATACCTGGCAGAGGGAAAATCAATTTTCTCCAGTGGGGTGTCACTGGGTGTACCAACCACACTCCACGGTAAGCCCCATGTACAGGAGTAATTGGCCAACACAAAATGGACTCCATGTTTTGTTTTGTATATGTGTGTGTGTGGGGGCTTTTTTGAGAAAGAGAACATGTAGTTAGGTGGGTGGGAAATGATCTGAGAGGAGTTAGAGAAGGGGAAACAGAAATATGTTCTACGAGAAAATTTTTATTAAAGTGGAACCTGGTTGAGGAGATACCTGATGTTGACCTTTGGCCTCTGCATTCATCTGCACATACATGTGCACACACGTGTGCACATACACACAGTCTGCAGTGCTGAATGTATGTTTTTTTGCAGATCTTTTAATGTGATGAATTAATAGATTTCTTTATTTTTTAAGATTTATTTATTCAACATGTATGAATGTTTTGTTTGTGTATATATATATATATATCTCCATCTCAAGCCCCAATGGATTTCTTAATACTGAATCTTTTTTTTTTTGGTTTTTCAAGACAGGGTTTCTCTGTGTAGCTTTGCGCCTTTTCTGGAACTCACTTGGTAGCCCAGGCTGGCCTTGAACTCACAGAGATCCACCTGGCTCTGCCTCCCAAATGCTGGGATTAAAGGCGTGTGCCACCACCGCCCGGCCTGAATCGTTTTTTATATTCCTGTGAGAATTCATAGACAGCATGTATATTATTATTATTTATTTGTAATATGCCACTAGCATCTGTTTGACATTTTAATTGTTTTAGAATTTTGCATTGATAGTCTTAAATGAGTTAAGTTTGAAGTTTTCTGCCCTTTGAAATATAATTCAAGTGTTTGGATTGATGTTATGTTTTCGTCATAACAGTAAGGGAAAGTTTTTCTTTTTGTATAACTGTTTAAGTAGCCTGGCATGATTTGGTCCTGGAAGATTTGTTGGAACCGTATAGTCCTGTGCTTATTTAGTTTAGGCCTTTGATGAGTTTCAAAATTGCAATTATAATTTGTCCCGTGTCAAATTTGGTAAGATGTATTTTTGCTGGTAATGACCTTTTTTTCTAACTTAAAATTTGTTTGCAAAGAGACAACTTAAGTAATCAAATTTTTTTTATGTTTTTTTTAAAGATTTATTTATTTATAATGTATACAGTGTTCTGTCTGTATGTCTGCCTGCAGGCCAGAAGAGGGCACCAGATCTCATTATGGATGGTTGTGAGCCACCATGTGGTTGCTGGGAATTGAACTCAGGACCTCTGGAATAGCAGTCAGTGCTCTTAACTGCTACACCCTCTCTCCAGCCCTTTTTCATGATTTTTTTTTTTTTTTTTTGGTTTTTCGAGACAGGGTTTCTCTGTGTAGCTTTGCGCCTTTTCCTGGAACTCACTTGGTAGTCCAGGCTGGCCTCGAACTCACAGAGATCCGCCTGGCTCTGCCTCCCTAGAGTGCTGGGATTAAAGGCGTGTGCCACCACCGCCCGGCCCTTTTTCATGATTTTTAAGTGCATATTATTGGCATCCAAGTTGTTTTCCCTCTCATTTCCTGTTCTGTGTCTTTGTCCTCAGTCTCATCCTCCACTCCCCCATTAGCTGATTGGCGAATCATTTCTTTTGTTGCTTAATGTTTATGAGTTAGATTTTTGTTTTGTTATTTTGTTCCTGAATAATTATTTGTATCTTTTGCTTATTACATTTTCTTCTACCTGTCTTTATTGCTATTTGACAGCTTTTAAAATAAGACATATATATATATATATAAATAATTTTTTTTTCAGAGCTGAGGACCGAAACCAGGGCCTTGTGCTTGCTAGGCAAGCGCTCTACCACTGAGCTAAATTCCCCAACCCCTCATGTTATATATTTTAATATCTAATTTTATTGGACTTTTTGTAGGCATTTGTTGATCTTGGTTTCTATTTTCCTCCGACTTGCCTGAGTTATATGTTAGTCCTTTTGTTTACTTTGAGACAGGGCTCTGCTGTGTAGCCCAGGCTTGCTTAGACTCTGGATCCTCCTCTGTCAGCCTCTCAAGTACTAGGATAGTTATGTGGATCAACACATCTGTTTCTAGATTTTAATTTTTTTGATTTATGTATTTTATTTCATATGTGTGCATGCCTGGTGCCTGTGGAGGTCAAAAGAGGGTGTCAGATCCCCTGCGACTGGAGTTACAGACCACGTGGGTGTTGGTAGCTGAATCTGGGTCTTTTCTACGCATAGCAAGTGCTCACAGTGGCTGTACCATCTCTCCAGCATCCGTTTCTAGTTTTTTGGTTTTTAAAGATTTGTTTTTATTTGTGTGCATGTCTGTGTTTCTGTGTGAATGAATGTCATGTTGGCACTGGGCTCATGGGGGCCAGAAGAAGGTATCAAAGGTGTCAGAACCCCTGGAGCTGGAGCTACAGCCAGTTGGCAGCCAACTGATGTGGGTGCCAGCAACTGAACGCAGGTCCTCTGTAAGAGCAGGGTAGCCTCTTAACACAGTTCCATCTCTTTAGCTACATTTTTTGCTGAAGTTATTAGCTTCTAAATTGACTATTGTGATCAGAGAATATTGTTGCCTCTCTTTCTAGCTTCTCCAACTTTCTGAGGCTCTCTTTGTGATATGTCAACATCTTTGAATTCACTTAACATTGTTTGAGAAGATAAGATTCTGTGATGTCAGGGTACAATTTTGGAGATATATGATGTGTACCTTATTAACTATTTCATTAGGCTATTTATATACATTCATGTGTATATTTGCTTGATTTCTTTTGGATTGATATGATGTATTACTAGTATGTTTCTGTTGATTCTACCTTGCCCATTTTATGAGGGAGGTATACATATTGTATACTGAGATATTCTGAACTGCTGTGTTTTGCTATGGAGTCTGGCCATTCACTGTAAAGCGTTTTTATTTCTTGTGATGCTTTGGGGCCTGAGTTCTGTGTGAATTCTCAAGCTCTTGATCTGCTTTACTTTTGCACTGCCCAGCCTCTTTTGCCTATTCTCCTATTTTTAGCCTTCTTTCCGAACAAGGCAAATGAGTTAGGCTCATTTGCATACATTGATGCAGCTTACTATTGACTGTCTTCAGAAGAATGAGCCTGACTTGCAAATGCGTTATTAGAGCCACCTTGGCGGACTACAGCACTGTGCCAAAGACTTTGTGAACAGTTCATGTCAATGATCTTGTCTCTGTTTACTTGGTTTTCATAAGTAAGGCTATTTGGTGGCTTTGTCAAAAAAGAATAGGACTGCTCTAAGTCAACAATCTGAATGTTTCAAATTTATCTAACATTTCTTGGCATGGTGGTGTGTGCTTTTAATAACCAGCATTCAGGAGGCAGACAACAGCAGATCTCTGTGTTTGACATTTGCCTGGCCTATGTAGAGAATTCCATATCAGCCGAGGCTACATAGTGAGACACTACCTCAAAAAAAAAAAAAAAATAATTACCTAACAGTGAATGGAAAGATAAGTGCTGAGCAGGAATATTATTTATTTTTATTATATAAATTCAGATGATCAAGCAGCATTCTCATCAAGTCTGGAACAGGATTCATGGGGGGTGGGGGGGAGGGCATCAGAGACACAATACAGGGGATGGCACTCCATGTTCATCATCCTATGAGAAGATGCCACCTAAACTTCACTTATCAGATGGGCGGAGGCATCGGCAAAGGCAAAGAACAGGGAGCGGACAGTCTTATTTCTCCCCATCGCTTACACCCTCAGCTGTTACCGAGACCTGGTTGTTGCTACACATCAAGCCTGGAGAGTGCTAGGTATCGTATGAGTCAGTTCTGTGAGTCTTACCCCCACCCCCACCCCCAGAGCCCTTCGCTGTGTGACTCAGTAGAGCATGATGGTGCCGCTGATCAGCACATGTAGATTGAAGCCGTCTGTAGACTTGCTCAGATGTATCTGTAGTTTAATTTATTCTTATTTGTTAATTTACTGGTCATAGCGTCCTACTTTTAAAGAAATAAGCGGTATTTATTTTGCATGTAAGGAGGAGTAGGGGCAGCGAGTGTGTAGAGGATAGAGAACAGTGTGCAGAAATTCATTCTCTCCTAAGTCCGTTCTCTCCTACCATGTGGGTGTCCAAGGGATCAAACTCAGGTCACTGGGCTTGGTGGCAGGTGCCTTTACCCGCTGAGCCATCTCACTGGCCCTAGTGTATACTTTTTAAAGGAACGCGTTCATCTAGAAAATCATTTGGGGTTTCTTAAGGCAATCTCAACATTACAGCCCAGCCGGAAACAAGGAGAATCTTCGTATAGAGGTACAGAATGAAAATAAAGGCGTATGTCTTAGGCTTTGTGAATGAATTGACAGACACATCTGCTTAGGCTGCTGCCTTTACACCGTTCTTCAGCCCAGTGGTTTTTTTTTCTTTCCCTCTTTAGTGTGGTGGTTAAATGTGCCACATAGAAGGAATGGATAGTCTCCAGCACAGATCTAAGATTTCTGAAATCTTCATTATTTTGCCTCAGTTTCCTCTGCTCTGTAATTTTCTGTTCGTTGTCATGTTGCCTCTTATCCCTCTTTCTGGCCCTAGCTTTCCCTCTACTGCTTAACCCAGGACACATATTTATTTCAGCGTTCCAGTGCTATAGAAGAAAGCACCCCAAATTTACGGGCTTAAAATTCTTTAATAATAATTAAGTTAATAATAATTCTTTCATGCTGGGCAGTGGTGGCGCATGCCTTTAATCCCAGCCCTCAGGAGGCAGAGCCAACCGGATCTCTGTGAGTTCGAGGCCAGCCTGGGCTACCAAGTGAGTTCCAGAAAAGGCACAAAGCTACACAGGGAAACCCTGTCTCGAAAAATAAAAAAAAAAAAAATAATAATTCTTTCACTAGTCTGTGGATTAGGAATTCAGACAGGGAAGAGAAAAGCTGTTCCACCTCAGCTTCATGTCATGTCTGCCCAGGGTGAGATGTCTTCATGTTTCCTCACATCCCTGTCAGGTGCCTCCACTAGGTAGTGTCTACGGTGGAGGCTTCTTTTCTGCTGGAGTTGTAGGTTTAGCTAGTTAGTGCCTTTGCCTTTCCTGGTGGCTGAGCTTTCTGAACCTTAGTCCCAACACTTTGAGTAAGTTTCGTGAGGTGTTGTGAGGTGGCTTTGTGAGTAAAGGAATTTGCCATCAAGCCTGATGATCCAAGTTTGATTGTCAGGACTCAATAATGTAAGGAGAGAGCAGACTCTCAAATGTTGGCTTCTGACCAACACGTGCACCTGTGCGCACGCGCACATACACACACACACACACACACACACACACACACACACACACACACACACCCTCGGTTTGGCAGTTCTGTTCTACTTAACCCAGTTCCTCTCTATTTAATTACCTCTCCATTAAGCCACTCAAATCTTAGTTCTCAAGTTTCTCTTCCTTTTCCTCTAAGTCCCCATCAGCCTCTTCCGTTACTGTTCTTGAAAGTCATTTGTACCTGTTTATCACAACACTCATCAGGTTTATTCATATTTCCCATGAGTCTGGAGAGAGGCTTGCTTTAAGTTGAAGCAATTTGTGTAATTTATTTATAAAGCCCTTATAGTTCTGAAAAAACCTGACAAGTTTTTTTCAGAAAAGTTATCTTTATAGATAGTTATTTTATTTATTTATTTTTTAAATATCTTTTGAGACAGTGTCATTATATAGGCCAGGCTGGTCTGAAACTTTTAATTCTCTAGTCTCGGCCTCCTTAGTGCTGGGGTGCAAGTGCATGCTACCTTACATGGCTTAGGTATTCATTTTAAACCACATACAAAAGGCTTCTCTTTGAGTAAACCCTGAGTAGGTGCCAATTAAAAGTTCTAGAGCCTTTTAGTTTTTAAGGAACAGCAATAGACACATTGAGGAAAAACAAGGATGATACTTACTACACCCCAGAGCAGGGCACCAGGGTCAGAATTCCTTTCTACCCCTGCCCAGCCTGTACCCTCATTCCCTAATTCTCTGGATTAGACTGTGCCATGAATCTTCTCAGAGCTGGCCCTGGAAAGGCTTGCTTGTACAGATGAGGCCCAGTTGTGGACTGGGAGATAAAGCCAGTTTCCTCCATATTTATACCCATGTGTTAAAGGTGGATGTCCAAACAAAACCAGGGCTCAATTGTTAGGAACAGAAGTGGAAAAGAAAAATGTCTGCTAAACTCCATTCATTCTAATGAGTTTATTTACAGTAATCTTGGAAAACAAGATGTTGTAGAATATTATTTTAAGGTGTGTTCTTTTGTTATATTGCATTTGTTTAACTCTGTGAAGCTGTTTTACTTTGCGTGTTGAACAGCCAATAGCAAGGCAGGAGAAAGGATAGGCGGGGCTGGCAGGCAGAGAGAATATATAGAAGGAGAAATCTGGGAGAGGGGCAAAGAGCCAGAGAAGGAGGAGGACTCCAGGGGGCAGCCACCCAGCTACACATCCAGCAACAGAGTAAGAAAGAAAGGTATACAGAAATAGAGAAAGGGAAAAGCTCAGAAGCAAAAGATAGATGGGATAATTTAAAGTTAAGGAAAATTGGCAAGAAACAAGCCAAGCGAAGGCCGAGCATTCATAATTAAGAATAAGCCTCTGTGTGTGATTTATTTGGGATCTGGGTGGCAGGCCCCCCAAAAGAGCAAAAACAACAACAATAAGAAATAGTTACAAATCCGGCAATGAAATGGATAGTACACAAGGAATTATATGCTGGTCAGGGGAGAATTAAATGGCAGGAAAAGGGAGCAGAGAGTGAGCATTGGTGAACCAAAGCCTATTTGTGTGTGTGTGTGTGTGTGCATTAAAATGACTACCTAGGCCATGTTATGGTAGAATACTCTCGTACCTCAGCACTAGGGAGGAGAGATAAACAGTATGCCCAGTAGGGACAGGATCAGAAAGGATTCAGATAAAGATCAAGTCTGGAAGCTATTCCAGGAGGAAGAAGGGCAAGCTTCAAAGGCCAGCTTGGCTGGCTGCAGATTTTTGCCTTAGGTCATCATACTCTATTGTTTGTTTAGCTCATAAATAAAGCAGCATCCCTGGACACTTGAGCACAGTTAGCAGCTGAGGTCAGACCTGCAAGCTTTTCTTACGATAATTAAGTCATCTGGGAAATCGTGCCTCTCTGGATATTTGTGGGGTCTTACTCCAAAAAGAGAATGCATAAGCATATGACGGTGAAGAGCAGGGTCAGCTGTATGATTTGCAGGGCTCAGTGCAAAATGAAAATTCAGGGCTTCTTGCTAAAGAACTATTAAGAGTTTGCAGGTGTTGACAGCATTAACCATGCATGAAGCCATTTTTAGTGGGGAATATTGCTCCCTGTAGAATCTAAAAAGAGCAAGTGGTTCCTGTTCATCCCTTCAAAGCACCTCTTAATATACACGCACTTGGCATCACTGTGGCTGTGTAAGACTGACTGGAGTGTGGCATCTCTCAGGTCCCAAAGAAACCAGGAACAAATGGCTGACTGTGGCACCTACTACTATACCCAAGCCCATGCTGGCCTCTAGGCTCTCTAAGCATCAGTCACCTGTTACAGAGTTCTGCCTCCTCTCAGCTCTTCTTACCACATACCCTACCCTAAACCTCTCCAGCCCAGGGGCTTTGCTTTGCTTCCCCCAACTTCTCTTTTCTGTATAACCCTGCCCATTTGGCCATGTGCTCTTTGTGTCTGTCTCCTCTCTTGGTTCTCGGCTTCTCTCTTGGTCTGCTTGCTCTCTCTCTCTCTCTCTCTCTCTCCCCTCCCCCCCTCCCACTTTCTCCACCTCTCTCTCCTCTCATGGCTCAACCCAGTCTGGACCCTTCCAGATGCCGTTCCTTGACTGAGCACAAAGCATTTTATTATTTTTTTTCAGAGCTAAGTTTTCTTATTTGTTATGAGAGTTTTATACTAACAGTATTTGAATTTGTTGTTTTAAAGCTATAGACTCCTTTTTCATAAACAAAAAAAAACATTTAGAGTTTGATATGGTCTAAATTTATTCTCAACACTGGTGTTGAAATCTAATCTCCAATGTGATGGAATTAAGAAGTGGAGCCCTTGAGAGGTGATTGTCATGAATGAATTGAATTCGTGTCTTTATAAAGGACTGAAGAGACCAGGGTTATTCCCTCTCCCCATGTGAGGCCATCTGTAAGTTAGGAAGTGAGTTTTACCGGATACTACACCTTCAAATACCTTAATCTTGAACTTCTCATTTGTGATGGTTAATCTTGGTTGTCAATTTGATGGAATCTAGAATCAACTAAGGGACATGGTGTCTTAGTTAGGGTTTTATTGCTGTGAAAAGACACCATGACCACAGCAAGTCTTAGAAAACATTTAATTGGGGCTCACAGTTTCAGACGTTCAGTCCATTATCATATCGAGAAGCAAGGTGGCACGCAGGTGGACATGGTGCTGGAGAAGGACCTGAGAGTTCAACATCTGGATTCACAGGCAGCAGAAGGAGACTGTGTGCCACACTGGGCATAGCTTGAGCATAATAAGACTTCAAAGCCTGCTCCTACAGTGACACACTTTCTCCAACAAGGCCACACCTCCTAATAATGCAGTGGCACTTTGGGGCCAAGCATCCAAACACATGAGTCTTTGGAGGCCATGCCTATTCAACTCACCATATACAGTTCTGGCTTGGTCTGTGAGATTACTTCCTGCAAGGGTTAACTAAGTCAGGAAGAATGTTTCCCATCATGGGCAGCACCTTCTGGCAGCCAATACCAGAGGTCTGAGGGGAAAGCAGTGTTGCTTTTGCCTGCCTCCTTTCACCCCTTGCTGGTGAGTGC